TGGTATGAAAAACGTCAGTCAACATATGACTCAATGATAAATTGTATTTGCTGACAAGGTCATTGTATCGACCACAGAATTTACGAAATGGTGACTTTAAACGAGACTGTTGATATTCTTGTTTCATCAACTTGCTTGTCAATAATTTACCCCATTTGAGAAATTGTTCATACGTACATCACGCTCTTGCGTATCGAATCAACTGAGATATATATACTCCGTATGCAGGTGATGAAGGTATATTGCTGCATAAGTAAGGGAAGTTGACGATAGAAAACTTAAAGTCATCACGTTTATCATATAGCTTGGTTGTTAGATTACCATTAGTGTCTTTTTCAAGTAAAATATCAAAGTATAAAGCAGAAGTGTCGGACTCTGTGGTATCTTTTATCTCAAGCTCACCAGGATATATCGTATCGACGTAGGAATGCAAATTATCATTATTAATTGACAATACGTCGTCGATATATCTAAATGTCGAGTTGAAGGCCACAACAAGTGTTTTCTTCTTCTCACGCATAAGATTTTGTATAAATTCTGCTTCATATGAATATAAAAATAAGTCTGCTAATAACGGAGCATAATTTGTACCCATGGGTATTCCAATAGATTGTTGGAATACCTGGTCTCCGAAAACCACATAGATATTGTCAATCAGAAACTCAAGCATCTTCTTGATGTCAACTTCAGAGTACTTATGTGTGCAATCAGAATCTGTTTTAACAAAATAATTTTTCAAATGACCAATGACGAGGTAAGTAAATTTACGAGTTCCATTTTTGTTGAAGAAGCAGCTGTCAATGATATCAAAAAGCCTGGATTTCAATTTGTCGTGGGGAATCGTTGTGTATAAAGTTGATAAGTGGTAAATTTTTAAACTGTTGATTTTTGTGAAGTCTTGTGATTTCAAATTGTCCAAAAGTTCTTTAGAATTTTTAAGTATCCACATCTGATTTACACCACTTCTTGAGTATATAGTTGCACAGTACTCTTGAAGTTTTTCCTTCACTACTGTCAATATTTTAGTGAGAAGTAACGAAAGAGGCTTGGTTGAACATTTACTGGAACCTGCAATGTATCTTTGTTTGTAAGGATTCTTATGAAGTTTCGGAATCCAATATATATAAGGTAGTTCAAATTCATTTTGGCTCTGTGTAATATTAAAAGTATTCAAAACTGACAGGTGATTTTGAAGAATTTCTTCCTTAGAAAGAGAAGTATGAGTATAAGTAGGATTACCACTTAAAGAATTAAATCCAAGTTCTTCTAGAATGCAATTTATATAATGAGCCTAACAAACGAAGACAATGTTGTTACCTGCTTTGTCGGCAGGAACCAGTACGTACTGATCGTGTAATCTATCTGCAGGAAAAACCTTTATTTGAATACCGATACTTTAAATTCTTATTAGTTTGAGTTATTTAGTTAAAATCAATTATATTAATCGATGGGAGATGTTTTAGCTATATGATAAAGGATTCATTGAACGTATTTGGTGATTTTTTCGTTGGATGTACTCGCAAGCTCGTGCATTTATACAGCCAACTCGTGCCAATATTCTGCTATATAAGTTCAATAACCCTACAATATAAATGGTTATACATACGTTCTATTTTAATTTCGTCCTTTGATGACTCTTGACACTCACACTTTGTTGTCTTTTCTGGTATGGTTTCCAGAATTGAGTCTGGTTCATCGCAAATTTCTGATCCACCTAGAAAAAATATTTGGAACATCATTATCATATTTAGAGATTCTTACCGAGATGCACAATAAGTTTATTGTAAAATTAAATTCATATCATTGCTAAATGTTAAATCTATTTAATTGTATTTAAAATGTTTTCTAAAATGTAAAATTCTTATAATACACAATTTAATTTGTGTCCAAATATAATTCTATCAAATATTTAAATATATAATTAAAATGTGCACTCATAAAATTCAAAACGACTTTAAAATTTCTATTTTTTTTTTCTTGCGAAAATTTGAGCATGAAAATTGAAATAAAAAAGATAATGATCCAATGTTCCTATCTGGGTTTAATTAACTGACATAGAACTGCTCAATTTTTGTTTTTGTAAAATCTACGGAAGCCTGTTCAGTATAGTTCAGAGAAAGAAATGTCTATTGAATTGCTTTATATCGTAATAATAATTGTGTCGAAGCGAAAAACATTGCTTTTAATGGCAACATATATTTTCATATTAAGCGACCTTTACCTATGTGAAGCATGAAACCTGTAGCCCTTATAGTTAAAGCTTTGGCGCAGGTTAAAGTCTTTTCGTAAGTTTGAATTTTTGTGTTAAAATTGGTCAAAAAAATTCCAAGGTCAAGGTCAAATGGCCAAGGTACTTTATATCAAATAAAAAGTCTTGTCACAAGGATTAAATACGATGGTCGATCAAAAATTACGCGGAATTTGCTATTATTTACTCTTACAAACCTCATAAAGTTATGAAATTTACAGAAATATGTATCTTAAAGATGGAGAGGTACGGAGCACGACAAAAAAAAAATGAGGCAAAAGCATGCGGAACCCAAAATTTAAATCATTTATTTTATATAATTCGCAATATATTTCGCAAATTTTTACAAATGCATTTAAATTTCTGTTGTGATATTGGAAGTACTAACAAAAATATAGTGATTTTTCTCTGATGCGATTCCCTTGAAAACGATGGTGAAAATGACGCCTCCTGAATCAACAGCGCACCAAACTTTTGTTTAATTATGGGTAATGCTCGAGATATCGCAAACATAGATTCAAAATATCCATAATAAAACATGTAGTAAACTACGAGAGCTTATCAAACAGTTCGCGAACTATCTCTATATCTAAAAAAAACACAATTCAGATTAAAATGAAATTCGGTACACACATAGTCATACACATGGTCAATAAATAGCATATACTGGATAAAGTTTTTATCCTTGTTCGTGACGACACAATTTGAAAATGACGTCACTATGTAGGTCACTTGTGACAGAAAATGGTTGTCTCGGTCGAACTCGTTCAACAAACGACTGTATTATTTCTTAGAAATCCCTCTCCAGTAACATATAATAATTTGTACACAAGTTATTAAGATAAATGAGTTCCAAAAAATTCAATTAATGATTGGATTGATCGTTTTAGTGAAGGAAGTCACATGGTTAAAAATCATATTTGTCATCTTGCCCAGTGAAAGCAAGTTTAAAAAGATATATGTTTTTAATTCAGCAATTTTCTATCAAAGACCTCCAATTTACACTTTGAAAAATAGTTGAATATTTGAACAATAATTTAATTATTAAGTTCCTACAAATGTAAGTTTTCGTTTACTTTAGATTTCAAACATATTAGATATGATAAAAAGCAGGCACTTATTCTCTATCCACCTTGAATAAAGGTCTCTCCCGAGACAGAAGATTAGTGTTTTAATGGTCGCCATGCATATTTTTGCAAAGGATATTCTAATCCATATAAACTTTTGCCGAGATTTGACCATTTCTGACAAATGAACTGTTTTTGTCATAAAAGTTAATTCACATGGAAAGAAATATAAAATCTTTCAATTTTTGTGATAGAACGCTAGGGAAGGGGTCACGTGACCACCAATATCATACAATATCACGCAACTTTTTGATCATCCGTCGTAGGGTATTCGTGATATCCAGATGCCAGATATCCATACGCTTCAGTATCCGATCGATTTTTGATCGGGACATAATTTTTAAATCTTATATTGTCTTGTTTAATTGGTGATTTAGGTATCAAGACACTTCGCATATCCGGACAAGTTTACTAAGAACCATACCATCCGTATAAATGAGGCTCAACTGTAGATACATTTAAAGAGGAATGTTCAAGGAAATCTATCCAGAAGTTAAGATATTTTTCACGAAATCTTAAGTTAACATATGATGAACACTGCCGAATACACTGTAATTGGTCAGAAAGAAAACAATATGTGACAAAAGATTTTAGGAAACAGTTAAATTTTCATGTTGTTTAAATATATTAATTTCGTTCCATTTAGCAGAAGTTGATGATTGATTGAATATTGTTTTGGTCCCATTCCAGAACTTTTAACTCATATATAGACATCCTTGTACATTTATACCAGTAAAGAGCTTCCGTTTTGGAGATTTACTCTGAAGTGAGGGTCATTAGGAAGTGAGGAATATATATCGTGCAGTGAAGGATCTTAATCGTTACAACTACTGTTGTGAAAGGGTTGCTCATTTTTAAGGTCTCATCCGAATCAGTCGCAATTTTAATTTTAAAGTGCAGAAACAGCTGCTACCTATATTCTGTCTAGTACTCAGTTCAGTCGCGGCCAAGTTTCGAGCCCAGGGCCTCCCGATGATTTTAAGTATTTTACTCTGTTTCTGTTATTGTGTACTTACATCTATAAACAATAGTTACAACGAAAAAGAATTGAACATAAGAATTATATTGATTCACTTATGACATTTTACATCAGAAGCATTCGTTGATGCTTTAATTTCGTTAATTTCATTGTTGAAAAAATTAAATCCCCCTGAAATTGTATGTCTATTTTTTAATTTGGTTTCTTTCAACACAACGATATTAAATGAGGTGTTAAATTAACAAAATGTTATACAAAAGGAAAGCCTGTTCTTCTACTGTACATTGTTGAATGTATATTTTGAAGTTGTATGATTAGCATGTATTTCTACGCAGCTAGGATAAGGTGTCCGTAAAATATAAAACTGTTCACACTGTAGTAACTTCTATGAACTACATAGATATGACGTCATAATAGAATATGACGTCACGTCACTGCATACTTGAGATGACATGACGGGGAAAGTGTCATAATTATTACACGGCATGTAGATTTATTATGGGGACTTGTGTTTAATTCAAGAGTAAGGATTGTTTTTTAAGCTCATGTCTGCTGTTATAATGTTAGACATTTGATATTTAAATATCTCTATTTCTTTTGCTTGTCCGATATGCACATATTCAAGCAATAGCAAAAAATTATGTTTAAAACGCTCCCCTTACACTTCCGTAGACAGAGTTAGAATTTATGAATCGTGTTTATATTGGACTGGCACAAGTGAAAGACAAAGATAAATTGAAGATATTCTGCGTAAATCTGAAAGAGAAGGATGTCTTCTAACTGAATTTTGCTGGGGGATCGTATGTAGTTTATTTGTTTTTGTATAAATCGCGATAAAGAGTGGAAAATACCCCTTCTTACGTTGGTAATTTTAATTTATCGTAAAATATTTTCTTAAGAAGTAAAAATTAAACCTGCCCCCAGCACTTTTTTGTACCAGGGATCACGATGAATTGATCTATGTAACAAACTTTGCACAATAATTTTGTTTTGACTTGTGCCAAAGCGATTTTTGTGCAACATTTAAGAATATCAAAAATCATCACAGTAATCTGATTTCACAGAAATGCTTTATTATAATACCTGAATAAACTGTTAACTCAAGTTGACTGCAATTTCAAAAAAGGATCACATATTCAAATTAAAATCTAGCTCAAAATAGAATGTATATTTTAAAGACATTTTTCGCCCTCGGATACCCTTACCATAACTGCGTAATCAAATTCATCGCAGCTTTGCAAAGTAAGAGCAAAAATAACTTGAAAGTAGTGTTTAAGCAGAGAAATCATACATTAGACATTCTATTTTTGTGTTTCTCTTATTGATACTTTCATAACGTCCGAAATCAATATACATGTACATGTATTTGGATATCTAGATATTAAGCAAAACAGATCATATAAATGACCGTTTTCTTTTAATGAAAAAAAAAGTTTATTGAAAAGAAAGAAAATGATTTATCAATGACACTTTACGTGGGCTTTAATCTATTTTTGTTGTGTTTCTTGCTTTTTCTAGGATAAAGAAAGTGCATATTTGTTTAGCTTGAATGTGGGTTTAATTTTGAAATAATTTTAAAATAATTATGTATCAATAAACAAATATGCAAGTGGTTATCCAATAGTTGCTTTATTGTGTTGGCTTCGACGAAGTAAATGTTCCTCCCACGCTGCAGCGGTTCAGTTTTGTATGTGGGTCATCATTTAATTTTTTTTTCGAAACAGTTATATTTTTTTTTATATCAGATTGAATGAATAAAGACGAATTTCAAAAGATGTTAGCTTTCTGCTAGAGGCGTAATGCTATATTTAAGGAAAATATACACATTTTATTGAGAAAAGAAAAAAAGGTAAAGGTTACTCCTAGTGATTTTTCAAATTTTTTGTCAGTTTGATTTTCCTCGTCAAAGTCACTTGGTTTGATGTATTTATTTTTAAGTTTATGTTACATTTTTAGCACCAAGTTAACATATTCTGAAATATGTTTTCACATGTAAACCTTTACTGATTGTTCATTCGTCCATCTTTTTTATTTTATTAAAATATTACTAATATTTTCCAAGTCTATTTTATTTTTCAGCTCTATGAAGAGATAAAAAAATCTTAAAATTATCCACTTTTTAAACCTGTGACATAATATTAAGTCCCCTCCAAAGCAAAAAAAAAAGTTTGTATCATCTGTCCTCATGTATAATTATTCATGTTGTTATTATACTACTTTTGTTCTTTTATTTATTGTGTATCTGTGTGTGGGAGGGGAATTTAAAAGAATGTTTATATACTGGAATGAACAATATAATATGTTTAGAAAAAAAACCTTTTTATTTTCAATATATAGCCCATTCATCCATTTTTATAAATATGCAAAATCACATTATTCGGGTATCAGGTGAGCTATTAAAAAAATTGTGTACGTGTACATTTTATTAATTTTAATGAATGGTGGTTCAATTCGATAATTCATCAAAAAAAAAAAAAAAAGAAAGAAAACTTCGCTTCACATAAAAATTGCGATACATTAAATTCATAAATAATGGAATACTCAGAAATATACAAATGTTCAAAAGTCTTAAAATTCATGTTTTTTTTCTTTCTGTTGAATTTTTAGAAAAGAAAGTAATATACAGTTTATACTTCAGTTAGTTTTATATTAATTTTCAATCCCCCTCCTGTTCATGATTTTCTGGATCCATTTAACATAAATGAAAGATTTAATTTACACACTGCTTTTATGCTCAACTTTAAAAGAGTTACAGTAAACAAACGTATTTAACATATACATTTATTTTTTTTTTAATATATTATACTATTTTCAATTCTTTTTCGTTGTATAGTATTAATATATTGAGTTTTTGAAAATGGAACCAAGTTTTTTATCAGTAAGATATCACCTCATAAATAAAAAATGAGAACACATTTACATTTTTTCAAAATATCAAACTAACACAATCGTTACATTATGTTTCAAACAATGTAATGATCAAAATATTTGAATTTTCATCATGATTAAGTTTCTAAATGCCTTTTCCGAATAATGTAAAGAAATGCTCTTGATCAAGATAGTTGATATGCACTTTTATATGCAATTTATTTTGTCTATCAAATAAACGATTTTATCATAAAGCTAATAAATAGTCCATAATAAAAAAAACTACCAACAATCAAGAAAATCGTTTAATATCTTAGTGTTTAATTGAACGTTTGCTTTGCATTACGTATAAGAGTAGCCCCGTAACATTCAGAATACGGTCCTTCAATATCAATCTCCCTGTTGTAAACAATAAATGTCGTCTCTTCAACATCTCGGAGGCAGATCTGTGATTGATAGTGGCTTCCAGGTAAGAAGTGTTTATTTTCACACTAAATTAGAATTATTAATTCATAATTTGGAATATTTTGGCCTCAAAAATACCCTAATAAGAAGATCATAACGCAAGATAGGGTCATTGAAATGATGCAATATTAAACACCTGCAGGAAAAACCTTAATTTGAATACCAATATTCAAAATTCTTATTAGTTTGAGTTATCTAGTTAAAATCAATTATATTAATCGATGGGAGATGTTTTAGCTATATGATAAAGGATTCATTGAACGTATTTGGTGATTTTTTTCGTTGGATGTACTCGCAAGCTCGTGCATTTATACAGCCAACTCGTGCCAATATTCTGCAATATAAGTTCAATAATCCTACAATATCAATGGTTATACATACGTTCTATTTTAATTTCGTCCTTTGATGACTCTTGACACTCACACTTTGTTGTCTTTTCTGGTATGGTTTCCAGAATTGAGTCTGGTTCATCGCAAATTTCTGATCCACCTAGAAAAAATGTTTGGAACATTATTATCATATTTAGAGATTCAACGATCAATGGTTTTAGACCAGGGAAGCAGCTATGACCGAAATAATTGAAAATAAATGCGTAGAAGTCCCAATGTTTCGGGAAAAATTAAGATCAGTTAAGAAGGACATTATATTCGCCGAATCAACCTACAATGACATCTGGGGCACTGGTTTGGATAAAAAAGGTACGGAGAACACCAAAATTGATTCCTGGCCTGGAAAAAACCTACTTGGGAAAATTATCAGTAAAATAGGCAAAAAAAAAAAACCGAAAGTTGACACCAAAGAACGGGACATTGCACAGATATTACATGCTTTATGGAATCAATCGGATTCTGAATCCATGTCAGGTTTTGATGAATCATTGGACTCTGATTCAGACGACCCGCCTAAGAAGGACAAATAAATCAAAAACTGTGTAATGCTCGAACGTCGCAGGACTTTGATTCTCGATCAGCGGACTGGAATGAAATGTTACGGTATTTGAATATTAATTCTTATGGAAAAGTTAGAATTTATCTCAGTTAATGTTAGGGGTTTAAATACCCCCGAAAAAAGACGAAAAATTTTTACATGGTTGAAAGAATGTAATATAGATATCATTCTGTTGCAAGAAACACATTTTTTTTAGAAAAAAAATGAATCCGTATATAATTTAAACTGGAGAGGAAAAACATTTCACGCATATAGCGACTCTGCATTCAGTAGAGGCGTGTCTGTTCTGTTTAACGAAAAAATAGATGTAAACATAATAAATGTCAAAAAGTCTATTAATGGAGGAAAATTCTGATAAATCTTGAAATTGAGGGTAATATTCTTACAATAGTAAATATATATGCACCTAATGAAATTAAGAAGAGGTGTGAATTTTTCAAAAAACTTAAGAACTTTATTTCAAAAAGTTATGTCAACGAAAATATTATACTATGTGGAGACTTTAACTGCCAGATAAACAATATTAGTAATGTAGATAAAAGTGCAAATTATTTAAAAGGTTTAATTAGGCATTATAACATGGATGATATATGGAAAAAACAAAATCCAGGTATGTCAGGTTTCACTTGGTGTGATGCAAAAAATGATCCTAAAAGTCGAATAGATTATGTTTTTATAAATCATAGCAGATATCAAGGTTAGAACAATTCCAGGCACTCATTCAAACGGGAGTCGAATGAGTGACCATAGATACTTAAAATTTAGTTTTGATATCGATAAAACGAAAAAAGGTCCCGGATATTGGAAACTTAACGTTTCCTATCTCGACAATGAAAAATATAAAAAAAGGTATTTTAGACATTATTCATAGTATAGATTCCTCTTTAAGCCCTATAATGACATGGGAGTTAATTAAACGAAAGGTCAAAGATTTCTCTATTTATTTTGCAAAAAATGAACAAAAATCAATTAAGCAAAAGATAAGAACACCAGAACGCGAAATAAAAGATATGGAGGAAGGAAACGTAGAAAATTTTGATTACAAAAGACTGAAAACTTTAGAAGCGGAACTTGACTCTATCTACGACAAAAAATCTAAAGGTGCGCAGATAAGATCTAGAATTAAATGGATAGAGGAGGGGGAGAAAAATTCAAAATTTTTTTTAAACTTAGAAAAACGCAATCAATCATCAAACGTAATTAAAGAAATAAAAACAAGAGAAAGAAATAAAATCAGTAAAACTAATGCCATTTTAGGTGAAATGTATTCTTTTTATAGCGAACTATATACGAGTAAAGAAATTTCAAACAAAAAAATAGAAAAATATTTATCTGAGATAGACGATATCCCTAAATTAAGTGAAGAAGATAAGATACTGTTACAAAAATTTCCAACATATGACGAGTGCAAGGAAGCTGTTGATAGCTTGAAAAAAGAAAAATCACCTGGACTAGATGGCCTTCCTAGTGAATTTTATCAATGTTTTTGGGAAACACTTGGGCCATTCTTTTACATGTATAAAGCACTTAATGATATTTTTGATAAAGGTGAATTGTCTTACACACAGAAACTTTCTATTATATCACTGATCCACAAAAAGGGTGAAAAAGATAATTTAAAAAACTATAGACCGATAAGTTTAACAAACACAGATTATAAAATCATTGCCTTTGTCTTTGCAAAAAGATTACAAAATATACTATATAAGTTGATTAGCGAAAATCAAACGGCTTACATAAAAGGGAGATATATCGGTGAAAATGCTAGATTTGTACTTGACGTTTTTGAATACTGTAAAAGAGAAAATTCATATGGTATTTTACTTTTCTTAGACTTTGAAAAAGTCTTTGACTCGGTTGAATGGAATTTTCTTTTCCAAGTCTTACAAAAATTTAATATTGGCAATAGTTTTATAAGGTGGGCAAAAATTTTATATACAAATCCAATGTTTAAAATGAAAAACAACGGCTGGCTTTCTAAAACCAGCGAAATGACGCGAGGAATTAGACAAGGCTGTCCTATTTCCGCTCTCTTGTACCTATTCGTCGCAGAAATTTTGGCTATTAAAATAAAATGTGATACTGATGTAAAATGCATTAAAATTAATAATCATGAAATTAAAAATATCCAACATGCGGACGATTTGACTGTAGCTTTAAAAGACGAAATATCGATGAAGCGAACTCTCGATAAATTACAAGAATTCTGTGAACATGCGGGTTCAAAAGTAAACATGCATAAGACAGAATGCATTTTACTAGGGGAACTAAAAAAATTATATGATGAACTCTACGGTATAAAAATTACGAATAAAGCAGTAAGATGTTTGGAAATATTCATAGGGCATGATAAGGAAGAATGTTACACTAAAAACTGGATGAAAATTTATCACGATATTGAAAAACTTTTTGAATCTTGGAAAAGAAGAAAACTAACGTTATTTGGTAAATTATGTGTAGTTAAGACACTTGCTATATCGAAACTTACATACGTTGCCTCAATACTTAGTCTTCCTGATAATGCTTACATTAAAAAAATACAACGTCTAATTTATAACTTCATTTGGGATAAAAATGAACGAATTAAAAGAAACACGCTTATAGGTAGAATTTCAAAAGGTGGCCTCTCAATAGTTGATATAGAATGTAAATTAAAAGCTTTAAAAGCAGCTTGGGTACCTAGATTGTTAAAAAGCAAAGGTATTTTGAACAACATTTTTGATGGCTATTGTAAAAAATAAAATGTTGATGTTCTCTATGTGTTAGATTTTTCTGATAGAAAAATAGAAAATATGGAAAAATTAGAGAAACTACTTATGTTTTATCAACAAATGTTATGTTGCTTTAATGAATGTTAGCCCTGTTTTTTTAACAAAATGTCTTCTGATAATGTTCTTCGACAGCCGATATAGAACAATTGTAATTTTGTTTACAGGGGAAATACATTGTTTTTTAAAAACTGGATAGCCAGTGGGATTTTGGATGTTAAAGACTTATTTGACGATGATGGTAATTTTAAATCATTGTTAGATTTTTCTAATTGTATAAAAACAAGTCAAACTGGTTGTGTGAATTTAAAATTCTTTCTTCTGTTTTCAAACCTTTGCTACTAAAGTGTGATTTTTCAAATTGTAAGTTTGTTAACATAAGATACAAAAATTATTTTTTTTTCTACACAGGATATGTTAATATCACAGATCAAAGATGTAACTTTTTTTATGACAATCGTGTACACAGAAAATTTTGTAAACCATGCTATCAAATAGTTTTAAGCAAAGAATTCAGTGTTGAACTTTCAGAATGGAAAAATATATATCAATGTAAATTATATGACATACCCGATAAACAACTTACAGAATTCAACTATAAACTTTTAAACAATATTCTTTGTAATAACTTTTATCTCAGTAAATAGAAAAAAGAAACAAGTAGTCATTGCAAATTATTCCACGTGAATGAAACTTCAAAACATCTCTTTTTTGAATGTAGAAATGTTGGTGGAATATTGAATAGATTAAGTTTGTACCTGAAAATAGATATCAAATGGAAACATGTAATAATTGGATTTAGCTCTGAGCGCAATAGAAAAATTGTATCACTCAACACACTCATCTCATATGTTGCCTGTAGGATTTACAAATATAAGATTTGTCGAATAAATTCCTTAGATGAAACTAGTTATAATATCTTCAATCACGTTAAATCTTAAATTTTTTTCTATGCTTCCATTATAAAAAATTGGAAATCACTTGACTACAAACTTTTTAAAAATTTTGCATAAAATTGTCTGAAGGTAATATTTTCATATTGTTTGTAATGTAATTTGTCTGTTATATATATTTCACTGTTCGTTTGTATGAAGAATTGAAAATAAATATTAAAAAAAATTATTTAGAGATTCTTACCGAGATGCAAAATAAGTTTATTGTAAAATTAAATGCATATCATTGCTAAACGTTAAATCTATTTAATTGTGTTTAAAATGTTTTCTAAAATGTAAAATTCTTATCATACACAATTTAAGTTGTGTCCAAATATAATTCTATTAAATATTCAAATATATATCTAAAATGTACACTCATAAAATTCAAAACAACTTTAAAATTTCTATTTTTTTTCTTGCGAAAATTTGAGCATGAAAATTGAAATAAAAAAGATAATGATCCAATGTTCCTAGCAGAGTTTAATTAACTGACATAGAACTGCATTATTTTTCTCTCTGTGAAATCTACGGAAGCCTGTTCAGCATAGTTCAGAGAAAGAAATGTCTATTGAATTGCTTTCTATCGTAATAATTATTGTGTCGAAGCGAAAAACATTGCTTTTAATGGCAACGTATATTTTCATTTTAAGTGACCTTTGACAGAACATACAGTGGGCATTCAGTTTCCATTACATCGACTAAATGATGAAATTCCATCCAATGTCGCATTAAAAAATTCATGGCTTACAAATGTTAAATACGTATACGCGGTCGCCTTGTAAAATCTTCTTCAGTAATCTTGAATTAAAGTGAAAATCAATTCTGCTTAATAGGTAAGAACAAGCTAAAATCAAATTAAAGAGTAGAATGAAAATGAATTCATGAATAGTTCAAAAAGATAAGAGATCCATATCAGTGAAATATTCTGGAGAGGGACGTTTAACAGTATATAATTAATCAATCAATCAAAAAGATAAGACGTGAATGTTCTTTACATAGGAAGTCTACATTGACTAGTAGATTGACTAGTAATTATTTGTGTCTTATACTCTGGTCGGTAAGAAATATTGATTAGTTTTTTCATAGTTATAGGAAAAGACTATGTATATAATCATTAATATGTAATTATTGAAGCCATTGTATTTTATTTCAGCCTCAACTTATCAAATAACATGGTCCTCAAGGTCAAGGGGACAAAGTTCTTGATATCGAATGAAAGGTCTTTTCACAAGGCTTACCTATGTGAAGCACGAAACCTGTAGCGCGCTTACAGTTCACAACCTTTGGCGCAGGTTAAAGTTTATTCGTAAGTTTGGATTTTTGTGTTAAAATTGGTCAAACAAACTCCAAGGTCCAAGTCAAATGGCCAAGGTACTTTATATCAAATAAAAAGTCTTGTCACAAGGATTAAATACGATGGCCGTTCAAAAATTACACGGAATTTCCTATTATTTACTCTTACAGACGTCATAAGGTTATGAAATTTACAGAAATATGTATCTTAAAGATGGAGAAGTACGGAGTACGAGAAAAAAAAATTGAGGCAAAAGCATGCGGAACCCAAAATTTAAATCATTTATTTTATATAATTCGCAATATATTTCGACAATTTTTACAAATACATTTAAATTTCTGTCGTGATATTTGAAGCACTAATAAAAATATAGTGATTTTTCTCTGATGCGATTCCCTTGAAAACGACTGTGAAAATGACGCCTCCTGAATCAACGGCGCACCACACTTTTGATAAATTATGTGTAATGCTCGAGATATCGCAAACATAGATTCAAAAAATGCATAATAAAGCATGTAGTAAACTACGAGGGCTTATCAAACAGTTCGCGAACTATCTCTATATCTAAAAACCACAATTCAGATTAAAATGAAATTCGGTACACACATAGTCATACACATGGTCAATAAATAGCATATACTGGATAAAGTTTTTATCCTTGTTCGTGACGTCACAATTTGAAAATGACGTCACTATGTAGGTCACTTGTGACGAAAAATGGTTGTCTCGGTCGAACTCGTTTAACAAACGACTGTGCAGTTTATTGTATTTCTTAGAAATCCCTCTCTAGTAACATATAATAATTTGTACACAAGTTATTAAGATAAATGAGTTCCTTAAAATTCAATTAATGATTGGATTGATCGTTTTAGTGAAGGAAGTCAGATGGTTAAAAATCATACTTGTCATCTTGCCCAGTGAAAGCAAGTTTAAAAAGATATATGTTTTTAATTCAGTAGTTTTCTATCAAAGACCTCAAATTTACACTTTGAAAAATAGTTGAATATTTGAACAATTATATAATTATTAAGTACCTACAAATGTAAGTTTTCGTTTACTTTAGATTTCAAACATATTAGATATGATAAAAAGGAGGCACCTATTCTCTATCCACCTTGAATAAAGGTCTCTCCCGAGACAGAAGATTTGTTTTTTAATGGTCGCCATGCATATTTTTGCAAAGGATATTCTAATCCACATAAACTTTTGTCGAGATTTGACAATTTCTGACAAATGAACTGTTCTTGTCATAAAAATTAACTCACATGGAAAGATATATAAAATCTTTCAATTTTTGTGATAGAACGCTACGGAAGGGGTCACGTGATCACCAATATAATGCAATATCACGCAACTTTTTGATCATTCCTCTTAGGGTATTCGTGATATTCTTCCACAAAAAGCACATTGAAAGTTTAGACCGTTAGGCCTCTGTAAAAAGGCTATACAGGAGGAGGGACTGAAGATTATCGACGAAAACTTTATCCGAACTGTAAAGAACGTAATTGAGAGTCACCAATACATATATCACACTATATCTCATAAATTCCTGCAGTTTTTGGTTTTAAAACGAAGAAAAAAAATATTTTTTGCTTGTTGAATAGATTTTAAGCTTGACAAGAAATGGTGTTTGGATATTGAGTAGACAACTAAAGGTAACTCAAACTGTACAGGTACTCATGGGAAAACGTTGAGAAAATGAGAGCTCAATCACATGATGCCTAAGATTTTGTTGCTCCGTGACTTAACGATATGTCCTGAAAAATTACTCACAGTTGTTACCAATTTACAACATTTTGATATGAAATTTTGAAGACCATATTAGTAAAGATTCTTTTATATTATGTGTGACATATTACCCGATTAAGTCGTCAAATATTTTTTTCTGTACAACAAGTCCGCGTAACTTTGGAACGGCCTCGTATGTGAAGTAAAAAATCCCTGATTTAAACCCTTCAAGGATTATGGTCAAGGTTGTATTTTTAAAAGGTAGGTCAAACTCCAAGATCAAAGGTCAAAGTTCTTGGTACCAATAAAGCGTCTCCTTACAAGAAATATGTATATGAAGAATAAAAACCTTAGCCCTGACCGTTCGAATTTTATTGCCAATGTTAAAGTTTTTTAACAACTACGGAAATCTCCAAGGGCAAGGTCAAACGTTCAAAGTTTTTGTACTCGATAAAAGGACTTGCCACAAAAGTTCATATATATATATATATGAAGCGAAAAAGTCCTGAGTATACTATTTGGAAGATATGGCCAAAGTAAAAGTTTGAAATTTTTTAGTTAAAGTGGGTCAAAGTCCAGAATCAAGGTCAAAAGCTCCCCAAAAGGAATACAAATATGAAATAAAAAAAAGATGGCTCCTCCAAATCAAAAGTTACGCAGCATTGTTAAGGCTTGAATAAGGGGGCGGGTCATAATCATTTATACAGGAAAAGTTTACTGTGACGTCACACAAAAATATGACTTTTATGTATTTCTCATAATACCTAAAAATGAAATAATTTGCAACTTTTAACTGTATTAGCATAATAAAAAACAGTATCACTTATGAAAGCGTTATAAAAACTTCCTTGTTAAATACCATGTAGCTGGTTTTAAAGAAAGAACTGATCGCGATGAACTTGTAAACATGAGGTCATACTAGTAAAAATGACGTATTTCATGTGCTGTGAGAGGCAGATTGGGAATTTTTTAACAATGAAAAATGCGTTTTATTATTAAACGGAATATTACTTAGAGGTTTTAAATAGTTGAAAAATACCAATGTATATCCTTTGTTTAGAACAATTATTAGTTAACTACCAAGAGAATGTATTTTATTAATTATGTCGCTTTTTTATGTACAGGTTACGTATATTTTACATCCAGATGCGGCATAAAATCGTACTTTCGCAAGGGAATACCCTGCATAGATCTGAACCATTTTTAGTATAGATAAAGGGTATTTTTCTTATCTTTAAAAGTGCTGCTGCTTTCTTTTAATCGAAGGCGTGATTTTATAAGTACACAAAGTATTTGGTTGAAGTCAAACAAATTACGACATGGGCTTATTTACTTGAAAAATTTACTATTAAAACGTGAATTCTTTTCAAAGCAGCAGCAATTTTCAGAAACTACAAAGTATGCAGAAACAATTAATAGCCGAATTTTTAATTTCATATAGGGTATGTCCTTGCGATATTGAAATTGGTTAACGACCTACATTCAGTACACGAATTATGCATTCCTCACGTGACTGTCGCTCGTTGGGACTAAATTTCATACAGTACAGAGTGGATTATACTATGCTATTTCCATAAGTTTTTGTGCTCTTTGATAATAAAACAGCTTAATTGAAATAAATTCCATTTTAAAGAATACTAGTACCCCTTTTTTGCACGTCTATTTTTCGCTGATTTCTCATAGTAGGCCTTAACAGTGCTGCGTGGCAAAGTTAAAGTTTTTGTGAATAAACAGACAGAAAGACAGACAACATAGAGACAGAGAGAGAATCAGAGAAACAGACAGACAGACACGACACGACAAAACTATAACCCCAAACTATGTTTACGGTGGCAGAAATAATTATTGGAAAATAAGTTGCAGAGCCTAGTTGATGATTACAGGGATTTTCCTTTCCCTCCTTGTCTTTATTTGATGAGTCAACAGCAGCGTCAGATTTGTAAACTTGTTTTTTGTGAAGACGTTTCAGATGTTGAAATCCGCCTGTGGAAATAAAGAATGAAAACATATTAATATATTGTTTTCATCTTAAGAGCTAGGTTTACTTTATGCATTAAATGCCCCCGTACTTATATCAATTAATATCACCCTCTTTCCAATTTCATATATTAAAAAAGACACATGGTGCTTTCATTTCCTATAATATAACTTCTGTTTGAGAATCCATATATTGTAAAATAAGATTTGAGACATTGCAATGTTCTTGAAATTTGCAGAAAAACAAGCGTATTTGACAACCTGCAGCAAAGAATTATGACGTCATGATACATTGACAAGCGGGAAAATTACGTCATGAAAATAGATATGTGGTTACCAATATTCCAAGAGACAAATACTTATTTGTAACATAAACTGAACAGTTTTGATTTTTCAGAAATTCTCAGGGCCAAATAACGCCCAAAGTAACTCTTGCGCTTCACATGTTCAGAGTTCCTACATAGAATACAACTTTATTTGCATAGAAAACTGTCACATTGTGTTAGCAGTATATATCCGCATTCAATAACCAATCCTAGATCAAAGGACGACATGTGTAATATACAATGCCTGTAAAATTCTTGAATGTAACTAATTAAATGTATCCAGTTGTGCTCGAGAAAAAAAACTTTCAAATATATATCTAATATATTTAACATGTGCCTATTCACTTAATGAAAAACAGACGGATATTCCAGCTTAGACATTTATCGTCCTGCTTTACCGAAAACATCTTTTGAACTAATTATTTTTTTTATAAGCAAGCAAGCTTTTTGTCTGAAAATATAATATTTTTCGGTGTTGAATCTTCATGGACCATACAAAACACTTATCCTTGCGAAAATCGATTCTTTTTTAAAATCTCCTTTTTGTCGTGAAGTTAAAAACGACATATGATTACATTATTCGACCTCCATCTTGTTATATCATACTCCATGTAACCCCATAATACATATGCATCCTACATGTAGATATTCATTTGAAAATTATGTGGACGACTGCTTCGTATTTTAGACCAAGGATGAAAAATTACTGAAATAAATTTCATTCATTTCATAACAGCTTCCGAGATTCTGAACAATTTACAATGAAAAAACGTCGTACGAAACTTCCATGTTTAGATCTTCTTAATATTAAGAATGGACAGTGTATAACTTCAAGCTTATAAAGTAAACCTTCTGACAAACACCACTATTTTGATTTTAGATTTTGTCTTCTCTCCAACACAAAAGGTAAAACCCCGTTTTATTCCTTGACACGGATTTGTACAATTATTACAGAAAATCCTGTGTTCTGGACTTTTGCAGGAATTAAAAATATATCTAAGACGAAAATATTCAGTGAATTAAAAATTGAAAAGGTATTAGAAATTTCAATAATAAAGAACTTTAAAATACACGGAATATAGATAACACCACCTAATGGATGCTATATTTTATTCCATTTTAGAAGATTCGGAAAAATTAGAAAAATTGATGTGAAATGAAATAAAATGATAAAATGAATAGTCTACGACAAGAACAGCATCTTAAAATACTGTAAAATAAAGCTTGGTTTTTTTTTTTACAAAGGAGGCAATTCCAAACATAAAATTTGCAGCGATCCGAGAAGTAAACATGAACATAAGTAGAAGAGGGCAATAAAATCTAACTTGAAATGGAAATGGAAATTAGAACCATCTGCTCAAAGAACTAAAAGTCTGAAAACATTATTTATTATGCCCTCTTTCCGAAGTGCAAAGAATACTTTACCGGACATTTGGATAAGCAAAAATCTAAATGTTCGAATATGCAAACAATCAATGAAAGATACCATAATACATTGAGTACAGTGCGTAATACGTATGTTGTGAGAATATGCAAAATGCGGCAAACAAAAGTTTATGATTTTCCTTTTTATCTAAATTTCCAAATGATAAAAGAAGACTAGTTTTGTTAATTGTACTTAAGATAGCACAACCTTTGTACATTACGTCTTACGGTACCGTGATTTTTTTAACGTCACGTTGAACACTCTCTTTTTGATGATATAACCTACCTGACGTTTGTATAAACGCATCAACAAAATAAATTGACATTCAAAGAAAGTAAACTAAGACATGCGCAAGGTATGGGCGATTCTATGCAAATTAATTAACTAAAAAATGTATGTTAAGTTTTATATTTTATATACAGAGAAATTTCAAATTGATTTTCTTATTCATACTTAGTACCCATAGCATGCTAAAGCTAGAAACATTGTTACGTCTTATCATGACGAACTGTACTTTTCCATTTAAGATAATGAAACACATCAACTAAACAACCTCGGCCGAAGGGCGTATCCTATTTAATTTCAAATGAATAATGTAAAATATCAAAGGATAATATTTCTTAAAATTAATTAGTTTTCTGCGTAAACTATATGCTCTTTCTCAATCGATAAATTTTTTACAAAACTTCGACTGACTGGAAATTTTACCATATTTCACTTTACAAGTTTACGAACTGTAACTAATCAATTGCAGTGTGCATATTTGTACAATAATATCTTAAATTCTAAGAATATTTTGCGTTTCTTTATGCCTTTTTTCTGTAAAACAAAATAAGGTATACCTTTATGCCGAAGGAATTTTGCTGATGTTCTATATACAATTGTTAAGTAGGGGTCGATGATGTCATATGAAGTGGACGTCATAATGTGTACTGGACACTGCACACTGGCACACTTTTACACAAAAATACCAAACTTTTACTCTGGTCATATCTTTTGGACAGTAGAAACCAGGACATATATACTTTTGTTACATTTTTTGTTGAAAGACCTTTAATTGGATACCAGCAACCCTTACTTTTTGACATTGACATGGGAGATTTTCTCTTTCTGCAAAATCTTTAACCTTGTTCATTACTTTCGAAAGTAAAGGGCTAATGCTTTTATCCCTCACAAATGTAATCCATGTGAATAGATACTTCATTCGATACCAAGAATTTTTATCCTTTGACCGTGACCTTTGAGTTTGACCTAACTTAAAAAAGCGAAAATTGACCATAACTTTTAAAGGTTGAAGGCCTAATTTTAAAAAGCGAAAATTGACCATAACTTTTAAAGGTTGAAGGCTAGTACTTTCATACTTTACATGTTTAATTCTTGTTACAGGACCTTTCATTTGATAGCACGACCTTTGACCCTCTGAACTTAGCTTGGAGTTTGTCCTACTTTATAAAAAAAATATCCTGAGCCATAACTTCGGAACAGTAAAGGCTAGGGCTTCCATTCTTTACATATGTATTTTTTGTGGCAAGACATTTTATTGGATACTTATTACCTTGACCTTTTGACCTTGAACTTGGAGATGGTTGTACTTAAAAAAACATTTACCTTGGTCATAACGTTTGAACGCTAGGGGCTTGTGATTTCATAATTCACTAATGTAATTCTTGTGAAAAGTCCTCTCATTGGATACGAAGAACTTTGACACTTTGGCCTTGGAAGTTGACATAATTCTAAAAACCCAACCATGACCATTACTTTCGAAGGGCTAGTGCTTTTATTCTTTACATATTTTATCCTTGTGACAATAACTTTCATTCCAACTTGACATTGGAGTTTGACCTAATTTTAAAAACTAATAGCCTTTGCCATAACTTCTGAACAGTGTGGGCTTAACCTTCTATACTTCAACCGGTCACGATAGCCTATTGGTAGAGCGTTCGCTTCGTGATCGGGAGGCCCGGGTTCAATTCTCGATCGCGGCGCCGCGTCATACCTAAGACGTAAACATAGGTAGTGACTGTTCCTTCGCCAAGCTCTCGGCACTAAAATTGAAAGTCTTTCGGATGTGACCTTAAAAGCGTTGGTCCCGTGTCACAGTAGGTGTTTGCATAAGAAAGAACCCTCACAGCTCAATGGACTTGAGTGCCGAGTATAGGTCTAACTTTGAAGCCCTTCACCGGCATCGGTGACGTCTCCATATGAGTGAAAAATTCTCGAGAGGGACATAAAACAATCTGGAATAAATCAATCAATCTATGCTTTACATATGTATTTTTTGTAGCAAGATCTTTCCTCAAATTCCAATAACTTTGACCTTGAAGATTTCAGTACTTATGAAAAAACTTTAACCTCGGTCTTTCATATACTGATACGCAAAAGATACGCAACAAGCGGTTATCTACAAATCTTTGATTTTTTTGGTCCAATGATTTTCAAAATCGAATACAATTTGGCTATACTCACTTTTCAGAAAATCAGAGATTTGATAAAATTTTAAATGTTTATACAGCTGTATTTTTGCTTTACTTAGTACCACATGACCGATTAAACACCCTCCTTCCAGCCATTCAAGTAAAACGTGCAAGACTGCCTTAATCAACAATTGCAGCTTAATTGCTACGATACAATACGTTCATCAATATCGAGATCTGAGCGAACGAATTATTCTTTGGCATTTTTCAATGCCCGTTTTTCAGATGACTAGGTCAAATTTTCTCTAATTTAGAGCAGTGTAGCCATCCTTGGACTTCCGGTACAAGGACTGTCCTTAATGCATATGATACGTAAGACCCCGTTAAGGCGTAATGTAATGATATTTCGCATCAGCAACTCTCCATCACCTTTACATTGAAATTTTCCAGCTAGAGCGTTGGAAATCTGTACATAAGCCATTTTCAAGTAGCCTTAGCCTCGTTACGGGAAACGGAAGGAGAGTTTATTTTTTTGAAATATTTCTGCTTTACTTATGATAAACAGTAAAAAAACCTTAAATTTCCATATTATTACTAAATGTTTTGTTAAACATGCAATTTTTGATTTCTGTAAAGCAGACTCAAACTTGACTTCCGGTTATAGTATGAAGATCATTCAACCGTAAAATTGCCGATGTTTACCAAACTGAAGATATCTATAATTTTAAAATACAAAATACTTTACTTTACAAAATTATTACCCCCTAAAGTAGGGCGTTGCGCTTCGTTTTCATGTCAGTTTATTTCACAATTGTATCTTCAGTGAAAATAACCTAGTT